TATTTTTGCTTTATATTTGGTTCTTTGAGCATCGTATTGAATACGCATATGTCCAGTGAGGCTCTCCTGCTTAATTGAAATAAGTTATTCTTAGACCAAGTCTTGATAATGTCTGTAATATTGAATGATATTTAAATTTACTTAGAAAAGAACAAGGATGTTTATTCATGAGATACTTCAAAAATTGCTCTGGCCACATTTCTTGAAACTTGTTTCCATCGTTAACCTGTTTTCAAGGGTTCTAGATAGCCTAATCCCTTTAAAAATAACTTTTCCATCGTTAGCCTCTTTTCAGTGGTTCTGGATAGTTAAGTATTGGGTTTTCACATTCTTTTTTGTGTTACTTTTTGTATGTATATGAGTGTAGATAAAGTGTTCAATAAAATATTTGAAAGGTTCAATATATGTCTTGGTTAGAAAAGAACTCAAAGATTTAGGAAACCCGCTGAGAAAGAGAACAGAGGATCGGACAGATGAATATGAATTTACGTTTAGGTACTTCTATTAGCCCATTGCTTTATTTTGTTGTAATTTTAATATTTCTTTTTGGAAGTCCCGGAGAGCTTTGAAATTTTGACAATTCAAAAACTGTTGTAATAAAATATGTGGTACTGCCGTGAGATTGGATTTTGTATCTATTTGGGGTGATGCATAGCCAAGGACTGATTTAGCAATAAAAATATCTATATGATTTCTGAATTTCAATATGCAATTCATCACTTAGCATAAGTTTTTATTTTTATTTTTTCCTGATCTGAATTCTAACTTAATTATTTTCCCTCGAAAGCGGTGGCTTGTCAGGTGTGAGGCATCTATTTTGACTAAAAGGGGGAGCTTTGGAGAGACACATGGGTACTAGCATAGGGTGAGGTTAGTTTATTATGTGGTATTTTTCTTTCATTTCTTTATTAATCGATGAAAAACTCAGATTATTTCATAATTCTAAGTCATATTTATTTTTTAATCTTGGTTGTGTTAGATATTGTTTTACAGATCATTCATTTGATGGAATGTTGATAGTTCACAGTTTATATATCCAGCCACAAAGAAGTAATTCCTCTTTGAACTTTTGGTTATTATATGATATTTAATCCTATACACCAAGATATCGTTTTATACCATTTTACATATAACTCAAGACTCTATAAAGATAATAGCTTCTATTGATTGATATTCCAGTAAGCTTGAATATGATTCATTCAATTTCTGTTTGATTGATATAAGGGTTTTCACACAATGATCATTTTTCTCTTTTTCTATGAGTTCAATCTTGCTCTCAAAAGGGAAATGTCTGGGTCTGTCTACTGATTGTTAGGAAATCTGTCTGCATATTGTTTCACTGAAGCAATTGAGATGGATAATGAAGAGGCTCTATAATATTGTTAAGGGTAAAGTATTAAATTGTTTCCAGATTTTTTTTTTGTTTTAATGGAATGTTGTACTCCATTTGATAATTCATCTTATTCTATGATTGTTAAATGACTTAAATCAATAGCTGGTGTGCTCTACTTTGTTTACAGTGTACTGCATCTATCTTTGATAGTTTGATCTATCCTCAAAGAACTGCTCAGCTTGTGGCTACTTTTTTTTATTGATTTAGTTGATTTCAATGGAAGTGTTTTGAGAATTATATTTCATTTCAGTCTTCGAGATATAAGAAGAGGTCATGATGATATTATTCAAAGATAGTGTATGGTTGTGTTTGATTTTCTGTTTTTTCTAACACTTATATTTTCTTGTTTTGCAGGTCTTTAACAAGAGCATGCATTTTTTTGCACATCAATAAGAAGAGCTTTCAGCAAGTCTCCAAGAAGAGAACCATTGGTTGCGTAGGGATATTGATGAGATTGATTTGCTAGTCTTTAGTTTCTCTCTAAGTTTTTTGTATATAGTTCCGAAATGTGTATTTTGATACTCTAAATTTATACACTGGTGGTTATAGGAATTAACCAACTGATAGGAGCATGTAACTGGTAGTTGTATAACACCAACGCTGGTAGTTTCTATGTATTTTTTTTAATAAAAAAATGGCTTACAACGTCTGTTTTATTTGACAACAGACGTAACATGTATTTTTTTTTTATTTTCTGAATATATATTCAATAGGCATGGCCTCGGTTCGGGCCGCCCGGCCCGGGACCGGCCCGACCCGCTACTGTGCGGGCCCGGCCCGGCCTGGTTATCCGGGTCCGGGTCCGGTTCGGGCCGGAGGCCCGGGGGTGGGGCGGTTCCGGGCTCGGTTCAAGGTTTTGACGGCCCGGCCCGGCCGGTTCGGGCCCGGGTCCGGGCCAAATCTATTTTTTTTTTAATTTTTTTCATTTGTTTTGGGCTGTTGGGCTTGGGCTATCTGTTTAGGCCAGTTTGGGGGGTTTGGGGGGGGTGGGGGGTGGAGGGGGGTGGGGGAAGAAAGGAAAAAAAAAAAATTAAACCGGGTGGCCCGACCGGCCCTGCCCGGCCCGGCCCGGAACCGGACCCGGAACCGGTGGCCACCGGTTCGGGCTCGGGCCCAACAAAATTGACCCGAGGCCCGGCCGGGCCTAGGCCCGAACCGGGCCCGAACCGGCCCGGGTCCATCCATAATATTCAACGTCGGTTTTTTGCGACAACCGACGTAATACGTATTTTTTTATTTTTTAAAAATTATATTCGACGTCGGTTTTTTAACGTAACTGACGTGGGATGTTACATTGAATTTTTAAAGCCTACTTTTTACGTCGGTTTTCTAACCGACGTTAAATGTTGCTACTTTTTACGTCTCTTACTTACACGTCTCTTTGAAAACCGACGTGAAAAGTGTAAAATAACCGACGTGAAAAGTCACTTCTGTAGTAGTGGAAATTAACAATTACGCTTTTGGTAAAAGAGTTGGTTGATAAGTCTGGTAAGTCGAAAAGTAGTGTCACCAAACGGGCTCATAATCAGTGGGCGTTTTTATTTCCTAAACGCGATTTTTCCTTTATTTAAAAAAAATTAAAAGAAGTGTTTTTCAAACAGGTATTTATATTTAAAATAAGTACTTTAAAGCTAAAACTAATCGAAAGTATTAGGTGTATTGAACGGATTTCGTACAAAAACAATAAGAAATTCAAGAAGTAGTGAACTAATTACGCTAGAAATTGAAGTTCTGTTTACAGAAATTGGCCTAAATAGGAGTAAAAATGTTCTGAAATTCCAAAATAAGAGTATCATATTTTTTATTCCCTGAATAAGAGTAATCTGCCAAGTTTGGGAAAAAAATTCCATGTTTAAAAGCCTTGTAGTGCCAAACTTTGCAGAAATTTACTCCAATTTAGGGAATAAAAAACATGATACTCCTATTTTGGAATTTCGAAACGTTTTTACTCCTATTTAAGGAATTCTCTCATATATAAACGTAAAAACTATTTCAAAAGTATTTTGTAACTTGTAAGCGTTTGTTTATCCACGTAATTAGTACCTTAGTAAGAATGTTTTCTTTTGGACTGTTTTCAGTCCCAGACCAGACCAGACCAGACCAGACCAGATCAGATCAGACCAGACCAGACTTCCGTAGTTATAAAATACACAGAGACCTGACGTTTACCAGACCAGACCAGACCAAACCAGTTCAGACCAGACTAGATCAGACCAGACCAGACTAGACCAGACCAGCAAATTTCAATCCAACTTACTGCTCTCGTTGGAAAAAGGAGGGTTTTTAAACGAAAAGCGTGTGTTAACGTTTAATTTAATTCAACTCAATGATCCTAAGCCAAAAGCTGTTTACTCCCTAGCCTCCGTGATGTAATGTTTGTTACAATAGGCTTTAACGTAAATTACCTAATATTTTCGACAAAAATTGTTGGATTTCATCCTTAAAAAAAGTTAATGAGAATTCTAGAATAATATAGAGATGTCTAGAATTCTCTAGATGTGTAGAAAAGTATTGAATGTTCGAGAATATTCCGGAGCTTTCTAGAGAGATGTGGAATTATCTAGAAGCGTATGTGTGGGAGTGTGAGGAAGTCTCTAGAACATTCTCAAACAGTGTGGAGTTCTCTAGATCTTTCTAGAAGATTGGAGAAGCTTGTAGATATATATTTTCTTGGAAGATTCTAGAAGTTTAGTGCTGTATAGAAAGTTCTAGAGAAATATTGCAGGAGATTTGTATCAATAGGGGTGAGATCTCTTTCCTAAGAGTGAGCCTAGAGAATCTTTAGAGAGAGAGCCTCCTCAAGTGATGAGAGAGAGCGACTTTAGGAGAGCTCTTGAGTGACTGAGTTTCCTCTAGAAAGAGGTGTGAGAGTGAAGTAGTCACATATAAGAGTGATATGAGTTACTCGTTTACTTGTAAAATATCTCTTGTACATTTCAATTGTATAATACGAAATGGTATTATTGTTAGATTGAGTCTTTGTGTTGCGAGTGTGTGGGTGAATGTACAATAAAACTCCTTTGAGCTTGTGATCCTGGAAGAGGTCGGGGGTCGTGTTTTCCCCAATAAAAAATAGTAGAAATAATGAATAAGGTAGAAAAGTAGGAGATGTGGTTGCATAGAATGAAAGAGATGATAAAAGTAGAAAAAATAAGCGTAAATGAGTATTTTTAAAGGATAAACTTACCAAAATGAAAATGTAGCAAATATTAAAATATATCTAAAGTGTAGTAAAGAAAAAGAATATGGGTACTCCAAACGGAGCCTAGCTGCCTAAGCATGCCATTGCTAGAACATACATCCACTTTTTCACTTCTGACAAACTCCACATGCCCAAGAAAGAAAGAAAGGCAATAGAGAGGTCTAGACTCCAGTAAAACTCCTCATAATAAAGATCCCTCACATGAAAATGATTCATTCATCCTTCTCCGCCTAATGCTACTAGATCTGACCCACTATCTTGTCCCACCCCAAATATTCAATTCCCCACATCCAAGTTAGCATCTATGATCTAAAACCTTATAATTCCCTAATTGGCCCTGCCTAATCTTATATGTACTCAGCTTAACCCCAAAGCCCCACCTATCTCTTTTCAAAAGATACTCCATAACTACTAAGTAGCAGTATATAAGTAGTTTAATGGACTCTCTTCTTTGTTAGAGAGAAAGAAAGGACTTCTCTTCTTGGGAATTGAGGTTCATTCAGCTTCTACAGTTCTACATTTACTTACATGCACAATCAAAGTCTGGCAGTTTCCTCTGCAACATTATAAGGTGAGGGGATAAACAGTTTGCTTATCAGTTTTTGGTTCAGTCATCTCATCAGAATATCTGTCTGTCCTGCACATACAAAGAGCTCAAGAACATGAACCTATTTCAGGGTGTAAAGCATTTCCTGAACCTGTCAATGACACTTTTGGTAATTCAAAATACCTCTGGCATATATTTTAGTTGATCTGCCCAGATCACCTTTTACTTTGAAGCCCTGATCTTCATCATTCATCATCCCATCCTAATGAGATATGCATCAAGAAACATACTTCAGGTACCCATATATATCCCATTATTCGTGTCTTTACTTTCAATTGCATCCCATTATATCTTGGGATGATAATGGATAAAAACGTAATTTTGACTATAATTGTGTTCAAAGTTTATGTCAAGTGATTATACAAGCATATTTATAATAACTTTAGTTACATTTTTTGTTCATAAATATTTTGTTAGCAATATTTTAAGAAAATGTCTCAAACTATAACTTAAAAAAACTACGGAGTATTATTTCCCTTAGATGTTCTAGGCCGCACGCCCGCTACACTGATGTATTCAATAGCATATAGCCTTAGCCATAGGCCCGGGTAATCTTTGAAAACAATATGGTACAACATATATCCACAAATGATACGTATAGTACCATGTTTCTCTGGTAGACTAGTACGTACCATGGAGACTATTTGGCGCAATTAAGCATATTTAAATATTGAATATTACCTCCGTGGTTCGTCCCTAAGAACATTTGACATGAGATTAAGATAGTATGTATTATACCGTGAAAAGTTATGCGGAAGAGAGTAAAATGCGTAAGAATGTGTAAGAATTGTGAATTACACATTCTTTACAAAAAACAAAAATGAAAGATTATTTTGGGACGAACAAGAAAGAAAACGTGGAAGGTAATTATAATTGAGTGACGGTGAATCTACAAACTACATACTCCGTATTACAAACGTGGAGTAGGCGGCCACGTTGCTAAACAAATTTTGTTAAAGTTGAGGGAATAAATTTTAGTAAAAAAAAAAGGATGACACCCCATCCCTGAGGGCCCCCAACACCGACCGGACGGCACGATGAGAGGATGTAAATTAGACTATAATCACAATCTGACAGATAGAGAGTGGGGCTCTGTCCCCGGTACTTACAGAGGCCCTATGCATTTTTCAGCATAGTAACCTCTCATCGTAGTTGCCGGGATTCGAACCCGAGACCTAACCCTTGTGGCACTCCCTCGCTACTAGTTGAGCTACGCCCACCGGTAAGGGAATAAATTTTAGTGACTACGAGTGTATGCAACTTTGCATAGTTGTAGTAACATTTTTGTCCATAAATTATTTTTTAGTAATATTTAAGGAAAGACATGTTATATGATTCAGTATATTCTTCTTACCTAATTGATTAATTTTTTCACATATATTGTAATTAGTGTTATATATAATTCATTATTTTACCATCAACTAAACCCTCTTTTATAATTTAAAATTGCATGCTTAGATTTCTTATCATATTCTATTATCCAATATCAACCATTCAGTGAAGCCTTTAATTATGCATTTTTTTAAGAGAAAATTGTTGGATATTTATAAGGAATGTCTTATTTACTACCAGGCAATATATATTTGTTAAAAACTTTGAGATTTTTTTGACTGAAAAAGATTAACATGACCGCACTTGAAATGGAAATAAAGAGTAATTACTACGGAGTAATATTTACTTCATTCACGTGGTCATGCACTTTTGAATTTACTTAATTTGTACCATCCATTGCAATCATTAATTAACACTTTCTACGTTTTACATTTATTCTCAGAGCTTTTTTAAAGTATTAATGAAATAACTTTTTTTTGAGAGTAATGAAATAAATTTATTAAAAGAAATATAAGTAAAAGTTACGGAATACTATAATATATTGGCATGATCGCTCAAAAGTAAAAGTTAAACATAAATAATCATGATTAAATTTACTGTTATAATCACTAAATTTAATAGGTTGCGTTATTTTAAACAAATTACACAAATATGTCATTCTAGGTTTCTAGCCCGTCCGGATGGGAATAATATATACACGGATAAACAAAAGGAGAGTAACCTGTCTACTTTTCCCTGCATATTAACATGCCCCCATGTTACTTGAAAATTCCCTTTTCAGTTATGTCAAAGTCATCTTAGCAAGCTACGACTTTTATTCATTGAAATTACAAATGGTAAAAAGGTATTTATTACTACGTAGTATTTATTATCTGATTTTATCAAGTATAAATTCGCAGTTGTGTTTGGAATTTTTACTTGTATCATTTTAGTCAATTAGCTGACTAAAGTTGATATTCATAACCAATTATTCAGTAAAGTCGATCCATTTGTCTTTCTTTTACTCTGTAAATGATAATTTACTGTATTGCGATGGTGTATTCGATCTATACTTCAAGAAAGGTGAGATTAATACAAATGTGGTTCACTATGCCCGTGTTATAGTTTATATTTCTATCACAATGTTTGGCCAATAATAAAATATAGTTTCTTCTTATAAAAACGATTTGTTATTTATAAATAATTCATACTTTTACATATTTCAAAAAACAATTAAATGTTTGCACAACATTCATTCCGAAATTCTTAAATGTTTCACAAAAATGAATAGCATACTACCAGTTTGAACTTCTCGACTAATTGTTTTCTCCATGTTCAAAAAAGTGGGAATTATATTAAATATAAATGTGTTCATAATATTATATTTCATCCTAGACTTATTTTCATTATCAACTTACGACTTTCATATTAATTTTTTGTAACATAATAATGTACAAATATATGTGAATTTTTAAATACTCATCAAGTTTTCATTATTTTTCTTCAAATAATTAAAAAAATTATGAATTACCAAATGGGCCCTTAACCACAATATATGTAGAAAAAGAAGTTTGGTATTTTTGGACCCTTAAACCAAATGGGCCCTTAATCACAAATTATGAATTACCAAATGGGCCCTTAAACCATTTTCAGCACATGTAACTGATACTTTTGGTATTTGTTCTGCAGCATAAAAGGGAATGGAAGTTACAAGTTCATGCTTTTGAAAGCAGTTTGAGGTTTAGAAGGGAAGAAGAGAGAAATGGCTTCAGAGATTCAAAGTTGTGTAAAAGATAAGCAGATGGGATGCATAAATGGGATATTTCAATTGTTTGACAGGCGGCATTTCTTTACTGGCAAACGAGGTGGTTGCAATATCAGCAAAATAACAGTTACAGGTATGTATATTTCCCTAGATTAATGAAGCAGTAAGGAAGGATTTATATAGTGTAAGAAGTTAATAATAAAGCACTAATGAAAATGCATAGTTTTACAGAGACCTTCAGCCAGTTGCTTTGTTAGTGTAATAATTGGATGAACAGAATTACAGAAATACTCTTTGGTGACTGGTGAATATCAAATAATCACCAAAATGGTAATAAAAAATTAAAAATTTGAGGAATCCAACATATGCAAATTTCCCATGTTCATCATTCCTGATACAAAAGAAAATATTTAACTTGTTTCGGAGTAAATAAGACATGATGATTATATAGAAACAATGTTATGGTGTAGATAGTTCTAAATTTCATCTTATTATTTCATAAGAAGGTTGCAACAAGAAATACGTACAGGCCTAGTGAAGATTTGTAAGTATGTGATACTACGTTTTTTTTAAGAAATTGCTCCAAATATGATTAAAAGTCTAAATATAGGTAAAGTGCACAAACATGACTAATCACGTTTTATTCTCAAAATAGGACTCAATTGATTCTATTAAAAGTATAACACTTTTCTAATTAGGAGTGAATTAGTCATACTTCAACAAGATAACAACAATGGTCTTATTTGTGCAACTTCTCAATGTTTGAGTCCTATTCAAAACATTTCCTCTTATTTTTTGTATGAAATTAAACTAATTATAAAGAACTACGTAGTAATTAAAACTAAATTACATGTCATCACCCCTGACATAGTATAACATTTTGCTTATATATGGTTCTATATTTATGATTAAATTTTCACAAATGTATAGGAGCCAAACATAATAATGTGGAGCCCATAACTGCAGCAGGTATGGAAGTGCATGAAAAAAACATACAGGAGGATTTCAGAGGAAATCAAAGGGATTCTGATACTCTAAGTTATTCCACATGCCCTTCCACTCCTTCATCCCTTGACGAAATCAGAAGCTCAAAACTAGGATTATCAATCAAAACCGGGATCAAGGAAGAGCAAAGCGTCAACGTAATGAAGCACATAGATTCTCCAAGGCCTCCTTTTCAGCAGTCACATGATCTTCGAGATGTGGTGAAAGACTCAATGTACAGAGAAGCACGTTCTTTACCTATACCTGTCAAAGAAGGGGGAAAAGAAGAGGGAAGAAGAGTCAATATAATGAAGCACATAGATTCTCCTAGGCCTTCTATGCAATCCAACCTTGGGAGGTCATTTTCAACGAGAATCCAGTTGAAATTCTTTGAAGCTCCATTACATTCAACAAAGGAGACAGATAAGGATCCTTGTCGTTTCTCTTACGATGAACGAGAAACACGAGAAAATACATTGAAGTCAATGATGAAGCAAGGTGATCGCCCAAGGCTATCATTAGACAGTAGGGTAAGGTCCATAAGATCTGAAACAAAACCAAGTTTCCCCTTGCAAAATCTCAATGAAGGAGAAAATGATGAATTAGGAAGTCATAGACGACCATCAAGTGTAGTGGCAAAGCTTATGGGTTTGGAAAGTTTCCCTGAAGAACCAACTTCCCCTCTAGTTGACAATTTTGTTCAACAAAGAAAGCAAAACCAGGAAACTTTCTCTTCGCGGAAGGATTCTTCCCTGTGCTCCAAACCTACAACATCAAACTCAAGTTCAAGGCTTCCAATAGAATATGCTCTATGGAGTCGATTAGACTCCACAAGGTCCTGTCAGAAACTACCACTAAAAAGCAAAGACGCCTCCAAAATTTTGCAACAGGCAACCTCCTCTTCTATTTACGGAGAAGTTGAGAAAAGAATGAGTGCAATTGAGCTCGATAAATCCAGCAAAGATATGAGAGCACTCAAACACATACTTAAGGCAATGCAGGAGACAAAATCAAGGTTAGACAACAAAACAAAAGACATATCGGTTCAGAAGAACAATCACACATTTCTTGTTGAAGAAAGATCTCCTCCTCTTGAACGGTTCTTATCTTCCAATCCAATCAAGCAATCCACCATAGTAAATGACAAAGCACGAAAAAGAATCAACACGAGGAAAAGTTACCCTAATCAGACTCTTCCTTCAATTCAAAGGATGAATAAAACTAGACCTCAAGCCTTTGAGGACTCCGAGGAACACATGAGTGGAGGTCGAGAATCTATAAGCCCAAGATTGCAAAAGAGAAAGATTGACATAGAGAAGCAATATGATATGAGCAGGGTTAGTAAAAACCAAAACAAAAAACCCAATGAATCAGAATACTTAAACCAGAAGCAAAGCTCAAAATTGGTCACTCAGAAACAAGGTTATGACCACCTCATTAATGAGACAATAAGAAGTGATAGGGGGAGGTTTAGTAAGCACAGTGATGCAGCTTCTGTAAAATCAGAAAGTGACCATAGTTTTGCATCATGTATAGAGACAGATTTCACAAGCACATTTCTTAATATTGAAATGGAGGGGAAATTCCAAGAAGTCCATAAAGCGACAGTAAGTAATTAATTAACTTAGTGTTATCATTAATTTTGTTATCGTATGGGGTAAATAACTATAAGTTGCTTTGTGATTTCACTTATTCATTTCTTTTTTGTCCAGAATGAGGAAGTGCAATTGTGTGGAGATTCAATGATGCCAGGAGTCACAATGCCAGTTAATGACCAGCCTAGTCCTGTCTCTGTGCTTGATGCTACATTCTTCGTAGAAGATTCTCCATCCCCTGTAAAGAAAAAGAAATCAATAGCCTTTGAAGGTAACACTTTCATTCCATAGAACATGAATATTTTTCATTATCAATCTCATATTCTCATATGATGAAAAAACTCACTTCCTTAAGCAACAATGGTTAAGGTGCCTTTATTGTACTCCCTTCGTTCCAAGAGAATAGTTACATATTTTCTTTTTGAGTTGTCCTAAAACAAAGTTTATGTTTCTTTTTTTAGGAAATGGTCATACGTAAAATTTCTACTTTACTCATTCTTTTATTTAAATGTAAAACTTTTCCATTCCAACTTTAATTACTTTTTAACTAGTACTATAGTAAAAGAGAGGGTAACTTAGGTATTTATCCCATTTTCCTAATCTACGAATCCAAAAATTTTGTCATTATTAATATGGGATGGAGATAGTACATTATATGCCACCTAGAAGAATACATTAGAAATCAGTATAGGAACTTATAAATTGTTTAGCATAAACTTTCAATAGAAAAAAATATCTAACCTCTATATTCCCATCATGTCTACTAGCGCTAGCGCATTCACATTATATATGTATGTCATGGGAGTGCACTAGAAGCAGTGTTAAAGTTTATATCCACTTTGTCTCACAAAACTATGTCAACTTTCTTTCTTTATTTGTGTAAAAAACCTTTGTCATTTTCATTTAAAATCATAAATATGAAGTATGTGGTTAAAGTTATTCTCTCTCCTCTCACGAAATTCAATCACAGAATTTCTACTTTATTGATCCACATACAAGTCAACTTTGTTCAAGTTTTATGGGACAGAGAGAGTAATTTATTTAATATAGATTTCTCTTAACATAAAAATCAATAGTAAAACAGGACCTTAGGAAAAGTTTTATCACGCAAATTTGAAAAAATGCTTGAAATTTGTTCGGCCAAGCTGGAAACTTCTTATGAAGCAAGAACTTAGAGAAAGTCTCAACAGTAAAACAACTGAAAAAGAGTCTTTTGCATTCTAAATATCTAATGGCCTATAAGGCTTGTTCTCCTTTATTGTGTTGGTCTTATAATTGAGTATACGGTATACTACGATGGTGTAACATTATGTCAAGCAAGAACTGAAACTTGACCGTTCATAGTCACAAATATGTTCACTTGATTTGAGTATATTGTATACTACAACAGTGTATGATAAAATGGTGACACAAAACTCCACCTCTTGAAGATCATTTTGGGTAAGTTAGATGCAGTGGTGTAGTTAGGGGAGAAGACTATGGGTAGTCCCATAAAAGGGATATTTCAAACAAATGTTACACATTTTGTAGCTATAAATTGAAGTCAGAGCCCAGGATGTTCCCCTGCAACGGCCGTGTTTAAATTCAATTTAATTGTTTCATAACACTGTAGGTGGAGAAAAGCATGTGATTAATATTGTAATTTCTTACCTTGTCAGAGCATGGTGTAATGAATGTTGAGAAAGCAGAACGGAATACAAAGGAGTTGGAGAACTTATCATGCAGCACCACAAACAATCTTGTCTCAGAGGGCAATCTTAAGCATATGCTACTAAACTCTGCACCCTGGGAAGATCACATTAGTGAGTTATCCCCTTTCTACCAGAATGATACATCTGACCACCAATACATCACTAAAATATTGTTGGCATCAAGTCTATTCAAAGATCTAGACGCTGTCTCGACGACTGCTCAGCTTCATCCATCAGGACATTTGATTAATCCCATGCTTTTCCATGTACTGGAACAAGCTGAGAAAAGATCTTTGCCAACATGTAAAGGACCCCCAAAAAAACTTGCAAGGATGCAATATGAACAGAAAACTTGCAGGAAACTTGTGTTTGATACAGTGAATGAGATTCTAGTAGACAAGCTAGCTTTCGAATACAGTGTAATGCAAGGAAGAAGTTTCAGCGGACAGAAGATTCTGAAAGAGCTATATGCAGAAATGGACCATCTTAGGCCTGAATCAGACGACTCCCTAGATACTCAGGATGATGAATTGGTTGAAATCATAAAGGGAGATTTGAAGAATGAATTGGAAGATTGGGTAAAACATCGTGGTGAGCTTCCATCATTGGTTTTGGACATTGAGCGTCTAATATTTAAGGACTTGCTGACTGAAGAAATTGGTATTCCAAGAAGACATCCCAGGAGACTATTTACATTCTAGTGGCTTCACATTATGTGTTTTTCTTGTCTCAAAACATCTCATAAGTCCTCTTTTTTCTGACTTCTATATGAGAGAACATTAAAAATGTATAATATGTAGGCACCATATACCTAAATCTTCTTACCGTATACCATGTTTTGTCCATACTTTCCATTCTGGTCCAAGATTTCACGAAAAGAAATGGACTGTATATATGCAAGTGTCAGTTCTCCAATCACGAAAAGAAATGGACTGCATATATTTCTCCCAAAGATGAATTTTGTGCTTCCTACCTAGAAATTTTGGTGGAATGCATGTGCTATTGCCTATTGGATGTGTATTCTTTGTCTATTGGATGATTCTATTCACAGCCCTTAAATTACTACACACAACTCCAAATTAAAAAATAATAAATTAAAATAACTAGAATATCTAAATTACCCGGAATATTAACTAAATATATCCCCAGCTATAATCAAATTCACAAATTTATTCCACACTTTCACTTTTATTAAAAAAAAGACTCAAACTTTAACTTTTCTCACAATTACACTTTCAATGGATCAATTAGTAAAACATAAGAAGAAAATCATATTTTATCATAAAGTCGTAGGTAGAAGAGATCAATTTATGAAAATCTTAACTCCTAAGCTTTGAGAATAAACTCTAGAAGGAAAGGAAAACAAACGAGCAGAGTCAATCTCAGAGGAATACTTTGAATGACAAACTAATCATATTTGTTCGGAAAACTATTCTTATAAGGAAAAACTTCTCAATTATTGGGTTAAATCAGTATATGAAAAGCATAATAGTATTTGTGTGTGCCTTTTTTAGAACACACAACATATTCCTAAAGTATTGAGAAATTAAGCATCTAGATAAAGCAGAATAGTATTAGTAAAAGTATTCTTAGCATTAGTATTGGAGATTTTTTCCAAATTAATGCTGAATATAAAAATATTTATCAAATGAGAGATGTTTGGGGTACCCCAATTTGTACTCCAATTTGTACACCGTACCGTCTGTGTACACAGGCATTTGGACAGAAAATTCTGCCCTTTTTCAAACGAAATGTTTGTGTACACAGACAATTCAGGGGGTGGGTACAAATTGGGGTACAATTTGGGGTACCTATAGAATTTTTGTTATCAAATTGATGTTGGGTTAAAACTATTTCCCAATCTACTGCCCGTGCTAACTATGTTAACGATATCCACTCATCTGCTTCCTACACGTACGAACTACGAAGAACGGAAGAAGAAGCAGAGACAACACAAAATTGGAGAAGAGGCATAGGTGGGACCCAACAAAATAGAAAATCCCATTTTTTAATAAAAATGTTATAACTTTTTTATTTGTTCTTCGATTGTCACGAAAAATATGTCAAAATTCATAATTTTTATTGACTTTCATATAACACCCATATTATATATAAAAATTTAAAAAAAATAAGATTTAAAACGAGTTGTTTTTTAAAATGTTATAATTTTTTATTTGTACTCCGATTATTTTAAAAGATTTATATAAATTTATAACATTTTATTATATTTTATATGACACTAATATTTCATAGGTAGGAATATAAAAAATAGCAATTTCAAAAATCTATTTTTTACAGTGTTGTACCATTTTTTTGTATTCTGATGGTCTAAGAAAATATATCGAAACAAAAAAAAGTTTTGAATACCTTTTTAGCGCCATATATTTTCTTAGACCATCAGAATACAAAAAAAAAAGGTACAACACTATAAAAAATAGATCTTTGAAATTGCTATTTTTTATATTCCTACCTATGAAATATTAGTGTCATATAAAATATAATAAAATGTTATAAATTTCAATAAATCTTTTAAAATAATCGGAGTACAAATAAAAAAATTATAACATTTTTAAAAACAACTCGTTTTAAATCTTAATTTTTTTTAAAATTTTTATATATATGATATGGGTGTTATATGAAAAAGCCAATAAAAAATTATGAATTTTGACATATTTTTCGTGAGAATCGGAGAACAAATAAAAAAAGTTATAACATTTTTTTAAAAAATGGGATTTTCTATTTTGTTGGGTCCCACCAATGCCTCTTCTCCAATTTTGTGCTGTCTCTATGCTTCTTCTGTTCTTCGTAGTTTGTACGTGTAAGAAGCGGATGAGTATATATCGTTAACCTTAGTTAGCACGGGCAGTAGATTGGGAAATAGTTTTAACCCAACATCAATTTGATAAATATTTTTATATTCAGCATTAATTTGGAAAAAAAAACTCTAAAAAGCTAGAAGGTCGGCCAATTGACTCTATCTGACATATTTCACATCACTTAGACTACATACCACTTTTATTCAACTGCTTACTTTCACATGAGTGAGTAGTTATCCATTATCCAAAGGATATGTGTGTCTCAATGACGCTACTTACCCAGTTACCTAAAGATCATTATCCAATTGTCATTTTTTTTACTGATGATAGTGATGTTTTTGAGAAGGAATTTGAGCAGTTTTTCCACTTGGTTTTATATATAGATAGATTAGGTCCACATTAAAAAAAAGATGAAGAAAGTGATAATATAAACTTATGGGCTCGCCCAGCACCCCGATTTAAAAGCACAAAAAATTTAGCAACGATACAATTTTCAATATACTACGTAATAGACATATAATGGATGCATAAAGACAATTCTGCTGATAACATGTTGTGAAGAGAATGTATTGTGTGACTTTATTACCAAATACCCTATAAATAGGGATATATTAGGGTCTACAAGGATGAGCCAGTGGGCCCATGATACAAAGTTTACACAAAATGATCCTAATACATATTTTACATTTTTTTTACATATACGATAGCAAACTACATATAATTTCTTTCAACAAACGGTATTTTTAAATATCATTTTTATATTGTGCTCATACAACTTTCTTCTTTTTGTGTTCCTTTTTTGTATTGTACATTTGGATTTTTAACACATTTGATCAGGGCACTAGGCTTTACGTTTTCCTAATAATAGTCAAATAGGCATTGTTTTTTATTAATTTTCCCTTTTGTGAGCTTCTATATTTTTTCCATTTTTGTTGATTTTAAAATAATAGTTCTTTTTAGCATATTTTGATATGGTTGTCGTTAGTTGATATGGACTCCATGAAATATAGATTAATATTTTATGCCCAATTTTTCGATGGTCAAAATTTATTGAGTATTTACTGTTGTTTCAAAATACAGGAAACATTGGACTTAATTCAACACTACGGTGGAAATCTTGAAGTCTCTCCTATGAAGTATAGTAATGGACGCATAGAGATTATTAACAGTGACCCTGGTGTAGTAAGTTATCCACATCTGAAAAATTTATAGAATATGGACCATTAAGGGGCTTTGGCAATAAATTTATACTCTGATGTGTAAATTGCCTCGTGAACCTTTGGAGTCTTTAAGGGAGTTAGCCGATGATGCTACCACATTGGACTTGATGAGTCTGTCTCCCGGTTGTGGAATATGTGAATAGTATTTGATGCAACCCTCTAAGTCTGTTGTAGTTGGTGATGATGCAACTTTAGGTGAAATGGAAGTTGATTGTGAAGGAGGACTTCAAAATTGTGAAGTATAAATGTTGTCATGTGTTGATGACGGAGTTGTGAGGACCAAACGTTGAAGGAAGTTAAAGCAAAGAAGAAAGTTTCACAAAATCAATTTGAGATGGGTGAAATCGGGATGGCTGAAAATCTTGACTTGTAGGATGTGGAAATTGAGACACCCTGCATGGACAAACATGATGATGAAGAAGATTTGAGGAGATAAGAAGACCTTCCTCTATCTGATATAGGTGCAGAATATGATAATGAGGATGTTTTGGAGAGTAGGCCACAGAAGCATAACATGTTTGGAGCAGAGGATGATAAGTATGAATATAGCATGAAGTTTTACCCTTTTGACAATCCATAAAGTTATATTTCACATACCAATTGTATGAGTGAAGTTTAAGTTCAATTCAACCAGAAGAATTATTATCATCATTCATACGATTCACAAATAGAACCTCTTTTATTGAGTTGGGGATGATTTTTAGAACAATACTCAATATGAGAGTGCCCTCATCATGTATATATGTTGTGCACCACAAGAATAATATTTTCTTTAAGCAGAATGAATCAAAAAGATAGATTTAAATGTTTTGCACAATCCGTTCAAAAAAATTTGCATGTTTTGTTGTTATGTAATTTCAGAAGATAGATTCAAATGCTTGCAAGTTAAAAGCATGATCACCACACACAGATGTAATTCTAAATTCATGTTGAGAGTTGTATGTAAAGAATGGATAGAAGATAAGTACGAGTACAAGGTTAGAGATGACCTTTGTATTGACTATGTGGCTTTAAAAGAGCACATAGAGACTGAGTCGGGTATTCATATTTCAATCAGTTTGGTGAGGAGGGCTGTGAGGTGCATTAAGAAGAGAATAATGTCATCTTTGAAGAACAATTTAACAGGCTTAGAGACTCTACTCAAGAGTTGCTAGATTCTATTCCTAACTTTACCATCAGGATCATGATCTCGAGAGTTGTGAATGATGATGGCCCTTGTGGCCTTGCCTCTTCCATAGAACCTATTGTTGCTTTGGTGCAATGAAAAGAGTCTTCTTAGAGAAATGCATAAAGATATTAGGGTTAGATGGATGCTTCTTGGAGGGGTTATTGAAGGAGGAAATACTAACACATGTTGGAAGCGATGCTAACAACATGTACCCTATTGCATGGGTCGTAGTTGAGGTTGAAAATACATCTTCCTGAGCATTGTTTTTAGAGTTATTGAGGCAAGATCTTGAAATTTTGAATAGTGTCCCCTAGACTTTCATAAGTCATCAACAAAAGGTAAGTCTAATCAAAGTCACGATAATACACAGTTTTACTTCTTCATACTTCAGTGAGTCATACTTGGCTGTCATGGTAATAATATTGTCATGAATAATACTTGGTTGTAGTTCTCAACTAATACTGTGATTAGGTAATTCATGGTAAGACTTAGTTTTAGTTCTCAATTAATATTGTGATTAAGTAATTCATGGTAACACTTAAATTTAGTTCTCAACTAATACTGTGATTAGGTAACTCATGGTAAGACTTAGTTTCAGTTCTCAACTAATACTGTGATTATGTAACTCATGTTAAGCCTTGGTTTTAGTTCTCAACTAATACAGTGATTAGGTAACTCATGGTAATACTTAATTTTATTTATGCATACTTAAGTAACTCATGATGTTTACATGTGGTTTAAGT